CGGGAAGCCGAGTCCCGCCCTCGCCGCCCCCGCGCTGCTGGAACTGCGAGCCCCAGAAGGCGCCACGGCGCCGCCGCCTCTGAGGACCCGTAGCGGCCACGCGCGGCCTGCCGGGAAGCGCTGCCCCGCCCCCAACAAAGGAACTATGGGAGGTGAAGTCCACGCCTGCCCTTGCACCACTCGCCCCCTACGGGTCCCTCTGGCCACGCGTCTAAAGCTACCCCCCCCACTCCCGCCCCCCAAGGAGTGACCTGGCCTGTCGCACCGTCGGGGCCTCATGTGGGCTCCACCAATGCGCAGGGAGTCGGCTAAAGCCAGCGAAGTCTTCCCTCGGCCTGTACGGCGGTTCCTAGATTTGGGAGGGCTGGCCCGTCGCCCCCCAGCACCTCTGTAGGTAACAGCCGATACACAAGCCCACTCTCCCCGCACAGCGGGAAGTCTGGTCCCCTTCAAGTACTGTCCGCTCGGTTATATGGCTGCCCAGGCAGGAGAGAACCAGCAAGCCCTGCAGGGCTGATGCATCTCCTCCATCACTCAGTACTCAGTTCTCAGGCCCGAAGGTCGCTGCCTGCCTCTGCAGCAGCAGACGCCAGCGCCTCCCCCACCCCAGGTCCTTGCTCTGCCGCCTCTACCCTCCCAGGCTGGGTCACAAGACTGATGTCAGACACAGGACGACGGGGCCAGCAGCATCTGCACTTTTATCCACACTATGGACCAGGCTAGGCAGAGGGAGCTTGGCCCAAAGACACCACCAGATCATTCTATAAAACCCAGAGGAGACAAGGAGCAAGTGCTAGTCCAGGAAGGGGGCCAAGGTCACGCAGAAAGGTCGCTGTTATCGAAACGCTCCTGGTCATACACTTCAGCCACCACCTTTCGGCCAGCAAACCAGCGCCCATTGAGGGCCTGGATGGCCCTGTGTGTCTCCGAGGCCATGGAAAACTCCACGAAGATCTTGACAATGATCTCTGCGTCCTCCTCCTCCCCCTGCTTCTCCTGGTAGATGATGACACGGTTGACGGCCCCAAACTTGCCGCACTCCTCAGTGACCTCCCCCTCCAGGTCATCATCGATGTCCTTGGGGTCCACCATGTTGCGCAGAACCATCACCGTGGACTGTGTGTGCAGGGGGGAAGACCGGCTGAGCACTGGGGTCTGGCCGGACTGCTGCCCCACCCAGGGCCTCCAGCCCGCCCGCTGCCCGCCCGCACCAGCCAGCTGCCCACCTCCTGCTTGCGGAGCAGCTTCTGCATGACCATGTGGCGGGCGCTGCTACCCGAGATGCTCATGTGCTCCTGCTCGCTCAGCATCTCCGGCCGCTCCGACTCAGGAAACAGCTCCTCTTCTTCCTTCTCCTTTTTGGGCTCCAAGAGACCCAGCGTTGGAGGGCTGGCAAGGATGGGGTTCACCACCCCCACGGAGGGGATGGTGACCGGGATGGGAGGACGGGCTGGGGTCACACCTGTAGCACAACCAACCAGGTCCAGCAGTCACCCCCTCCCAGCCCTTCCCCGGAGGGAGTCGAGCTGGTCAGCTGGGGCAAGTGCAGGCCGGAAGCCAAGGGTGTCTGGAGGTGGGGGACGGAACAAGGGAAGGCAACTCCACCCTCTGAGACTCACCTGTGATGACACCAGGGGCCTGGGCAGCCATGACGGCCTGGGGCAGAGCGCCCAGGGGCTGGGCCAGCGTCAGGGCAGGCGACACCAATCCTGGCGTGGCCAGCGTGCCCAGCACTGCTGCTCCCGCCACTGCTTCCTGGAACCCCAAAGGCCACCATGCTCAGTCCCCAAAGGACTGGGGACTGTCCACCCAAGATCAGACCCACTCAGCTGCAGGAGCCCTCACCTGTGCAGTGATCTTGGCTGTGGCGGCAGCGGCAGCCACAGCAGCAGCGGGTGGGAGGCCTCCAGGTGTGGCAGGTGTGAGCAGGGGCATGGGGGGGGTGACGGCCTTGCCTACCCGCAGGTACTGGCCACCCAGATCAAAAAGGTTCATGGAAGACACAGCATCCTGGGACGACTGGGCCTTCTCGTACTCTGCGGGCAGGGGCAGCAGTGAGAAGGGCAGCCCCCGCCCTACCCTTCCTGGCCCCACGGCAGCCCCCGAGCTCACCAATGAAGCCATAGCCCTTGTGCTTGCCAGTGGTGGGGTCCCGGGCCAGCGTACAAGACTTGATCTTGCCGAAGGCCTCAAACACGCTCTTGATGTCATCGTCCGAGAGATCCTGGTGCACCGAGGCCACGTAGATGCGGTTGAAGGCCCGTGCCTCCTCGGCCAACTGGTCAATGATGGGCTGGGCTTGCCCAATGTTGCTGGGCCTGCCCACCTGGGGAGAGGACAGGACCGCTCTGTGTCTGTGGGCAGCGGGGTGGAGCGCCAGGCGCACAGGGTGCAAGGGCTCACCTTGATGTTCCTGCCTCCCAGCATCACTGAGTTCATCTGCTCCAAGGCCAGCTGTGCGGCTTCTGGGACCTCATACTCCACAAAGGCAAAGCCCTGGACACAGGGACGCGCCTGTTAGGCTGAGAACCAGGGCAGAGTGGGCAGCGGGCGGGCAGGCAGCACTGCTCACCTTGTGCTTCATGGTGACCGAGTCCCAGGACATGTCAATGCTCTTGATGGGCCCAAAGGGCGCAAAGGCCTGGCGGATGGTGTCCTCCCCCAGCTCGTAGTAGATGGAGCCGACGTAAACTCGGCACATGATGGCCAGCGCCCGCTGCCGCTGAGCTGCCATCTGGAGCAGGACAGAAGTGGGGGAGAGAGAGCCACTGGCTCATAAGGGGGGACAAGGGCCGAGAAGCCCGCTCCCCGTCTGGCCCACCCACCCAGCTCCACTGTGGGGAGGGCACCCCACACAGCAGCAGCGCAGGCTCAGCACCTGCAAAGGGCTGCAGGGTCAGCAGAACCCCGCCCCCAGGAAGGAAGACCAGAACCAGAGGCACAGCATGGAAGTTCCCAGGCCGACTGGCAGCAAGGCCGACGGTCGGGAGCAGGGCCATGTGCCTTCCCACCCTGTCCACCCTCCAGTCTGGGGTCAGCTACGCAGGCTGGGCAGGAGGACCTCCCGTCGGCCTGGCCACATCCTGTGGCGGAAGGAGGGCGGGAGGGAGGGAGTAGCCACCCAGGCTGGGGCCCTAGGTCGGAGGCCAGAAGAAAAGAGTGCCGAAGACGGGCAGATACGCCCAGAAGAGCGCCCTGGGGAGGGGCAGGAGCCCAGTGGGCCCCGGAGGGAGGAGCAGTTGCTTGTGTGGCCGGCCGGCTGGCAGGAGCTCAGTGCCCGATGCCCTCCCCACTCCCGAACAAACCCTACAAAAAAGGGCTGCCTAGAGCACCCCTCCATAGCCAGGTAGGCCTGGCTCCCAGGAGAAACACAAGGTTCCAGAGTCCCTCAAGGCAGAGCCCCAGGGCTGCCTCGGAATCAAGGAGGTGAGCAGGCCGGGCAGGCCCAGGGCCCTGATCGGGATGGACTGGCCAGAGCGCCAAGGGACCAGGTCCTCCCCGCCACCTCACAGAAGACAGGCCAGGCAGAGGTCCCAGAGCCACAGGCAGCAGACCACCCAGAGGAGCTGGGCCCTAGCTGGAAGCTTCTGCCCCCAGCAGCCCAGGGCCGGCAGACGGGGCCCAAGCACCTGCCCCTCCACAGATGGGGCTCCCCGCACGGAGGCCCATTTCACTTTTCCACATCAGCTGGCCTAGTATGGGCCAGGTGCCGTCAAAGAAGGGCTCAGAAATAAGGCCCACATCTCCCCCAAAGCAGGACCCAAGCCCTCCCCACACATGGTGCTCCCCAAGTGGGCATGGCTTCCCTTAGACTAGGAACTCCCCCAAAATGGGACCATTCCCTCCTCAGACTGGGCTCCCCAACAAATAGAACGTAGACTGTCTGCAGGGACAAGGACTGTGAAAGGTAGAACCACATCCCCCATCACCAAGGCTCCCCAGCCATGGACTCAGGTCGGCCTGCGGGCGAAAGCTGCCCAGACAGGACAGCATCACCTCCTCTACATGGGGTTCCCCAACAACGAGGCAGGCAAAATGGCCCTCAGAGCGGGGCTCCCCTCCCGACAGTTGCTTCCCAGACAAGACCCTGGCCTGCCTGCCCCCATACAAGGCTCCTGAGACAGGCCACAGCTCCCCGAGACCAGCACACCCAGGGACGGGGTGGGTCCACCTGCCCCCTAAGGGCAGAGCCCCCAGAGGGTGGCCATGTCTCCCCCTCAGCCTCCCCAAGGTCAGGGCCTGGCCTCCTCTTGAGCCTAGCTCTGGGGAAAGGAGGAGGCTGTCTCCTTCCCCTGCCTCCTGGGGCCCCGCAGCCAAGGAGCCGCTTCTCCTGGTCTCTCTGGCAAGGCTGTTCACTCCCTGGCTGGTGCCTCAACCCTCGCCACAGCCCAGGCCCGAGGCCCAAGCCCTCGCCCTTCCCTCTGGCTTGCTCAGGGCCCCCCGCCCCCACCCGGGCCATCCACCCACCCTCCAGGGTCTGATGGGGCCATGAGTTAGGACCCCTCTCTCCTTAGGGGCCTGACCCCAGCCCAGGAGCCCGGGCAGTCTGGAGACTGAGCGGCCGGCCGCCGGGGGGAGTGGCCGTGCGTGCAGGGCCTGGCAGCTGCCCTCCCTGACCGGCTGCCGCGCTGCCCTCCGCA